ACATGGCTGCCAATGAGTCTAACGAAAGCTTGTGATACAAAAAAATATATATATGTATGTATATTTTTTATACACTCACACACTCACACACATAGATGTGTATTGGGGCGGCCGAGTGGCCCGGTGGTTAGCGCGTCGACCTCACAGTGCAGAGGTAGCGGGTTCAATTCCAGCTCCGGCCTCCCTGTGTGGAGTTTGCATGTTCTCCACAAGCCTGCGTGGGTTTTCTCCGGGTACTCCGGTTTCCTCCCACATTCCAAAAACATGCATGGCAGGCTGATTGAACTCTCTAAATTGTCCCTAGGTGTGAGTGTGAGCGTGGATGGTTGTTCATCTCTGTGTGCCCTGCAATTGGCTGGCACCTGGTTCAGGGTGTCCCCCGCCTACTGCCCGAAGACGGCTGGGATAGGCTCCAGCACCCCCCGCGACCCTTGTGAGGATAAAGCGGAACAGAAAACGGATGGATGGATATTTAGATTCACTCAATTGTGGTTTATCATTGCGTGGCTGCCAAATCCCAGAGGCTCAAAGGCACACAACAATTCCGCCAGCGATTTAGCATGATGCCAGTACATTACATACTGTCCTGTCCTATTTGTCAGGTTCAGAAAGGGTGACTCATGTTGGATCACATTCTTTCATTTCACCTGTGCTAAGATACCACCAGCTGGTTTGACACTGCCTTTCACACTCACAATTTAAAAATGCAACATCAGCCACGGCGATTTGTCTTTAGTCTGACTAATCATTTTTGGCATCCTAAATTCAGTTATTTGCATAATCTCCTACCACAATGTGCAAAATGAATCGTGCAATGATTCAACGTGTTTTGCCGATGCGTTAATAGTTGTACCCTGTTAGGTGATAAGCTACGGTATATCCTTTTGTGACCATTTTTTGCATAAACCTTCAGCAAATCAGGCCCTTTGTGTGTCTTCGCCGGTTTACATACACGTGTTTCTAATGTCGGCATTTCTGCAGCCCATTGAAGATATTGTACAACATTTAAGTTACAGGTTTGCAGCTCATTTGACAGTAGATCCTGGATGCAGGCTTATATATTGACGTGCCTTTCATATCATAATAAGAATCAAATCGTAAGAAATTAAATTCATGAGACTAAGTGAGAGAATGACTTTGAAGAAATCAGAGAAGAACGAAATAAAGGGAGGAAGTGTGGACAATTGTCAAGTGGGAAGCTGCGGTAAATTGTTAAGAAGGCAACCAGAAAAAAATAAAGATGAGTAAGAAAGTGAGTGAGCTAAAGACTGAAAAAAATCTAAACTGAAAATGGAGGGAAAAAAGGAAGTACTGTACTGAATGAGTGAAGAGATCTTATAAGGACCGTTTAGGAACAATTAATGAAATAAAGTGAGTCAGACCAAGGAAGAACAGCAAGGAGAAGGGGGAGTTACGGAAGGACGGTTGGGTGCGGGATGGAGGGAGGAATATTTTCTCGATTAAATTGTACGGTGGGAGAATGCGTCGGTCGGTGAGCAACTGAGTGAGCGAGCGAGCGAGGAAATATTGTGAGGGACGGGAACAAAGAAGGAAACAGTTTTGATGAGCTGTAATCATGTGATAGCATGTGACAGCGGCTGAGACACTCCATGTTTCCCAAAGCAGGCTAAGATGAATGCACTGTAGCCTTTTATTCTGTGTTATACAATAGGAAAAAAGGCTGTCACTGACTCCGCTGGGAGCACCGATGCGCTCAGAACAGATGACAGAAGCCTTTTATCACATTGGATTCTCGCTCACTAAGGTGCAATGGTGGCACAGACGTACTCTGGCAGCCATGTCGCCCTTCCACACATATGTACTAACAGCATGTGTATATTTTTCAAGGCCGCCCACAGCACACGGTGTCATGCTTTCAAGCTTCGAGCCGCATGCTGATCTGAGTCGAATCTGTGTGTGCTTGGATAATGAGACGGAAGCGCAGTTGCTCTCTACCTGCCCAGGAAGCAACATCCAAAGCCGTTTTCTCATCTGCCACTTTGCAGCGAAACCCGTCCGAGTAGAAACACCTCCTGTTCACTGCAAGCAGGCTCCGAGAAAAATCAAAGATATTTTTAAGACCCGGTTGTTCAACTCGCTTACATTGCTTGTACTGAGAGGAAAGAGGAGGTTTTGTGTAATGTATGCTGAGCCAACTTCTATAGATTTAATTGAAAAGGGATGTCTCCCACTCTCTCTTGGACACACACCCACCAAGTGAGTCATTTTGATGTAATAACTCACTCGATCCAAGGACGTCTGGTAGTGCATTTCAGAGAGGCTGTTATGAAATGTCTGAGCTGGTGTGAGGATAAGGAGAAGGATTAGAGAGTTATAAAAACGACCATGTTTTTATAACTACCTTTTTTTTTTAGCTCTTTCTTACTGTCACAAAATCTTATTCTCACAAAATGTATCTTCTGCATTATTACAGAGCACAACAAGCGTGTAAGAATGGAATAGATGCATACCATCTCTCACTCCATCACATTTAAATGAAATGTTAAACGGGCGTCCAGAGCACAGCAGTGGAATATGAAGTGATTGTAATTCTAATCAAGAAACATATTTGAAAGATTGTTTGTATCAGCCTCATGCTTTGACAGGCTTTCTTTTCCCACCTTTCCTAGACAACGACATGGAGGTTGCAGACGAGCAGCTGAAGGGAGGTGAGTGACAGAATATTTCATGGTTGCCTTTTCACCTTAACCGCCCCCACCTTTGTTTTTTTTTTTTTTATACTGCACACACAACCCGAGTGAGTGGCAGAGCTTTGACTCGTGACAGTGATTTGCAGGGTTTTTTTCCCTGTATGCAGCAGAGGAAATGTATGTTTATTCATTTGCTGACAAGTTGAATCACAATTTGACACGTTACTGTCGAAAATACTTCATGCCATTTAAGGTACAGTGCATTACAAGAGCTTATGTCCGCCGCTAATTCCCAGCGTCAGTCTCTTCATCCAGCTCACTGGCGCCATGCCTTCAGACCACCTAAAGTGAGCGGCAAAAAAAAAAACATCTCCCAGCAGCTTGTGCTAGGCTGGAGAACAAACGCAACCACCAGCGCATCGTGCTTTTTATCACCGCGCTAACTTGGCAAGTGGCCTCTCGTGCCCAGATACTGTTTAACTACTGACATTTATCCACGTGCTGATGTCCGAAATAAAGACGGGCACCAACAAAAATCGGCATACATAAACAAGTGAGACAGAGTTGATAAAGCTGAAGTTTAGCCGAGTATTGTTGCTACTTTGGTCATTTCCTCCCTATAAATATGCGAGGTAAGTAGGTTTGATTGCTGTTTGTTGGTTAGCTGACTGTTTTTGTTTGATTGTTCGCAATCATTTTCCTTTCAGTTTTGTGTCGCAAGAAGACGAGAAATGGTCAATGCCAAAGAAAAACTGAAAATTGAAGACTGTTTTATCTTTTCAAACTCTGAATCGCAACGAAGTGCCAGCTTCTTGAGTCCAGAGAATGGCCCGCTAACATATGAGATAGATGAATACAAATGAAGTGTTAGTGGAATTTACTCTCTCTTTTTAACATTGGATGTGCAAGCTTTTCCCCTGCAGGACGATAAAAAGTAGTCCATATCTGTCCACTTACATGTACTATACATTATGTGTGATTCATGGTTGGTTGTGTTTTAACGATGAGATTTTAAAGTGAACTTTGATTTACGCTGGATGTTCATCAAAGAAAGCAAGCCATTTCTGACACTTAATAATTCACCAAAAACCTTTGTAAAGAATAACATCCCCTCTTAGGGACTGACCAAAAGTATAGATTCACGAAAAAACGAATTGCCCATATGTGGATATATGAGGTTTTGATTCAATGCCAGCGATAGGTGACATCTTCCTCAAGGACATATTGTATTCAGTTGAGGGGAACTTATCCTGACCTGTTATTTCATGTTGGTTTTAAACCAGGTATTACACCGCACCCCCTTCCAGCATGCAGCTATTTCAAAAAACAGTTTTCCCAGTTATGTCACATCATATTGCCAACACTGTCCTGGTCCAGTTGGGCCTTTTGTTTGACGGGCCTTTGCTCCTATGCCAAGTGCTGGCCTTTCATTTTGCTCGATCAGCCAGAGTTTGACTCACTACTATGTGGAACCAATTCAAAGCTTTGAAAATGGCTGCCGAATGGCTCACGTTCGCTGTCAGTTTTTTTCCTCCCAACTGTACTCCGGGGTCGCTCTCAAAGCCTCATATTGCCCCACAGGAGTCACTTTTTGCCAGGGTTATAGGGTTATAAAACAACAGCATGTAAAAGCAATTCACTTTCCCCTTCCCCTCTTGTACTGGGGTCAGCCTAAACAGCCTACACAGATGAGCCAAGTTAGCATGCATTGTCTTTTATTGAGCACTCAGATGATTTGACAATCTGCTATCCGGGTCACTAAATCATGATTTCCTTGCAGATAACATGTCACCGTCTACGCGACCAACAGCTAAGGATGATAACAGAGGTATGTGTGAAGCATCCACATTTTGTTGCCCGATATTAGTTGTATCACATTATTTCAAGACAACAGTGATCAATACGTGGCAACATACTAAGAGCTTTTTAATATTCATATTGTATTATTTAACTGCACGAAAATTTCTAATTTTTTTTACTTCAGCCCTATTGTGCAGATATGCCTGATACCATCGCCACTGAGTGAATATGGATGTGTATTTGGAATCTGACTGCTCTTATTGATGACTCATCATTGGCACGTTTACATAACAAAAAAAAAAAAAGTTTTGTATTTGGCAAGTGCTTTCTTGTTAAGTATTCACTAGTCATGGTCAGCACTCTGTATTCCCAAGTTGCTCTTTGGGCAAATGAATACAGCATGAAGATCGGTCCTTTTCAAACGAATGTTTTCTGTGAGGCAAACTTGTTTAAGAAGCCATTATCTGGCTATTCCGCAGTTTCAGCCCCTTTGGATGTGTAATATTGAAACAATTATAGGCTTCTCCGATACGATGGACCAAAGATAATTAGATTCTTACACTGGAGGGTGTTAGTAGGCAATTAAAATGGTACACCACCCATTTGTCTTCAAGCCTAAAGGTTGCGGGGAATTTTTAAAGATAGCAGTCATGGTTGTTTTCCCTGGGGAAATGGCTCATCTCGCTGATTGTGGAAGGCTGGACTAGATAGCGCAGTCACTTCAAGGGCGTCAATAATTCTGTGTTTTGAAACAAAGCGCGCTTATGCTGCCTTTCTGCCTGCCTGCATTTCAATCTGCCTGCTCAGCATACATTTTCTATATCATCTTGCAGCAGCAACTCCAAAATGATTCACAAATTCAATCAGCAGTATTAGGAGGGCATAAGTATTTTGTAATAATCTTTATAAATCCTAATTTATCAGGCCCGGCAGCTTAATAGTAACTAATCCATTCACAAAAGGCCCCGGCACAGCTTTCGAGCATGGGAACACTCAGTCCTTGAGACAACCTCTCTCACAGGGGGGAATGAAATGATTTCATAGTGCCTCCACTGTAAAGGTTAGGTGTCGATGCTGTGCATGGGGGGGATTAATCATAGAAAACACTCAGATGTCACCGATAGTATGGAGGGTTTAGGAGATGCACATTAGGAATCAGAAGAGAAAAAAAAAAAAAGTGTCAACTTTGTGATAGTCCGAGTTCAAGATCCTTGACCGTCTCAAACAACCAACAATTGCTTCCATTCAAAATGGAATGCACTTTATCTTGAGCCTCCAACGTATCGGTTACCGGTCCTATGTGGAGCACTTCTTTGAATAAATTACATTCTGTGGCAGCGCTTGGCTGGAATGTGTCTGTCAATATGCCTCAGTGTGATGCATCGCACTCCTTGGGGGACTTCGTGCTCCCCGCACCACGGGTCAGCCATGAGAGGCTTTTAGCCGCTGTACACATGAAAGGAAAACATTCAGGTTACCTCCAGTGTGCAATCTTTATTAAAAAAAATGGTTAGTGGTGTGACACAAAATAGTAATAAAAACAAGCACTATTATTACTGCAGAAGGTACAATTTGTGGAGGGAAAATGAACGCAAGCATCATCTAAATGAATGTTCACCCTGTTCTCATAAATTTAGTTGGAAATAGGTTTGTCTTAAGAACCTCGTGTTCTCATTTGTCAAACAAAGCAAAACAAATGCTTTTGGTCATCCAAAACCCATTCCTGCTGGGCCCTTTCAGTGTTTGTGAAATTCATTTTAAAAGTGTAATTTCACGGTCCCCAATAATCCTCATTTTAAAGCAAATTTATGTGCAATTGACGACCTGTAAAATGTTTCTTACATTTAAATTTTTTATCAGTCTTTTTTTTTTTTTTTTTTTTTCTTTATGCAAACAAAAAAAAAAAAATT